AAAAAAAAAAAAAAAAAAAAAAAAAAAAAAAAAAAAAAAAAAAAAAAAAAAAAAAATGTTTTATATTTTGGAGGGATTTGATTTTCTCTTTTTTACTCTTTGTATGGAGATATCAAAAAAAAAAAAATAAAATATCAATTATTTTGGTTTAATTTTATGGAATTATGGGAAATAATATCATTTTTCTTTTTTCGTTTGTATATATATATATATTGATCATGTTTGGCAAAATCATAGCTGTGCCCTTTCGGGATGGCTGGAAACTGCCGTTATGGTGATCGATGCCAATCTCTTCATGGTTTACAATGTCCTTCATGCCTCAAACTTGTCTTACATCCTCATCTTACTCCTGAAGAACATCAACAAGGTAAGCTGAAAAATATCCTTTAATGATTTATTGTAATTCATACTTTGAATTTTCGCTCATTAATTCATTTATTCAATAAATATTATTAAAATTAGTCCATATTAACGAATGTTTTAACAGACCAATTCAAGCTTTTGATGGAGTTAGACCAGAAGATATTGAATGTGGAATTTGTTTCGAAAAAGTATTGCTCAAAGATGACGCTCGCTTTGGGCTATTGAGTAAGTCAATATAATACTGTAATATTATAATTACTATAAGAATAATCGTTAAAAATTGATCAAATAATATTCAGATTGTGAGCACGCATTCTGTCTTCAATGCATTCGCCAATGGAGATCTAGTTCTAATAACCAGAACAATCAAGTCATTCGTGCTTGTCCAATATGTAGGACACCTAGCCATTTCATTACTCCAAGTACTACTTGGTATGTACTTGCAGATTTTAAAAATATTATGTTTGTAAATTAATAATAAAATCAAATACTTATTAGTTAATCAATTTCAATAATATTATGATATATAAGGATTACGGATTATGATGAAAAACAAAGAATAATCAACGAATACAAACGTAAATGCAGGTAAATCATTTTATTTAAATTTTTATTATTATTAAAATCCATGGTTTGGTTTTTTTTTTTCTTAACAATTTTTTAATTAATGCAGTAACATTCCGTGTAAACACTTCAATTATGGCAATGGTCAATGCCAATTTGGATCTTCATGTTTCTACTCCCATGTATACCGTGATGGAACAAAGGGAGAGATTAACATTCGCACGATCCAAAATGGTGAAGAAGTCAAAGTCTTGGATAGTGTTCGATTATGGGATTTCATGGAAAATTTTGCAGAAAAGCGTAATTCACCTGTTATTGGTGTTACTGCCACTATCAGCTAGGGATGGATTATGACTAATAAATTGATAAAAAACTAAAAAAATTATAAACTAATAAAAAAGAAAATAAATGCAAAATTAATAGAATTTCTTAGAACTCTCCAATTATAAGTAATGACAAAAATTTCTTAATTTACAAATATTTTCAAAAAAGTGTTGTTGAGGCATACGATAATATTTAGCAACGGTAGTCATCTAATTAATGAACAATTGTCGAAGACTCTAATTTTAAACAGTAGTTAATATTATTTTAGTTACAAAATTGATTTTGCTTACAATGTCTTTAATGTTAAATAGCTAATAATATTTTTGATCATGATAGCAGTGTAGAAAAAGATTTAATAATTTAAACTATTGTTTTTACATGTATAATACTAAATTGGTTATAAAAAAAAAAAAAATTAAATTTATTAATATATATATATATTTATATTAATTAAAATACAACTTTTTTAAATACGTATATATATACAGTATTTTACGTGTAACAAGGCATATACTAAAAACCGAGAAAAATAGATTTTTTAGAATTATACGTATACGTGCTATATATATGTATACAATATAAGTTATATAATTTCGGGTATTTAGATGATGACTTGCTTCAGGACTTTATTATAATATGAAACTCGCATACAATTTTTTTAAAAAAATTCTATTATCAAAAATAAGCTACGTAGCAAAATGTGCTAAACTTTCTTTAGCAAAAATTATTTTAAATATATACAAATATGTATAACAAAAAAAATTTTATTAATTTCTAACGATATCATGTGAAATTAGAGATTTTGTTAACCAATTTCTAATAAAGCCGTTTCGAATTTACGGAATCCAGAATGTAAGCCGAAAGATCCCGCTAGCTATGATATCGATCAGTCTGTCACTTCTAAGCTAGGGGGATAATGTTAAACGAAGAATCAATTTCAAACGGCCTAAATAAATTTAACCCGATCGAAATGATTTAGAATCCCAGACATTTTTTCTGACTGTCACAGAAATCAGGGTTATACGTATAAAAAAATCATTATACGTAATAAATGATTAATTAGCAATTACGTATACGTATTACTTATATACAATCAATATGTCGATTTGGCATTAGCCAATAAAATCGATTTAACCGACTAAGGGTGCCTAAATTCATAGGTTGGTGCTCAATAATTAGCGGAAAATAGTTTAGCCGGTCAAATGAGTCATTATCGCGATGAAAAAAATGGATCACAATTTGCAATATGAATCTTCAGCAAAATTATCGTATTCCGTTCGCAAAGTGCCTCCCATGTATACTACCCCAATAAAATATCCAGGAATTTTGCTGAGTATTCAGATTTCAAGCTATTTCAAGCTTCAGAATCCCAAATTTGTAAAAGACCCGGGGTACGTACGTACTTTGGCGATACGGTACTTAAATTAATTACTCTCGATCATTAGCCAATCACAAAGAGAGATGCTTGAGAGCATCCTAAGTCCAGTCGATTTTTGAAAAATTGACTTAGGGTGTTCTCAAGCATCAAAAATTCGTAGTGATCGAAATAGTGCGCAAGTATTATGACGTAATTTTTAATTCTTGTCATAACAAAGTCAATAATACGAATGACGATATTATTGAGATATGCTCTCAAACATTACTTTTACTGTGATTTTCTAATAATTGTAGTGCAACGATAGATCAAAAATAAAGATCTCCAATCACTACTTTAGATGATTTTAATAGTTTATCGAAAATTTAACAAAAAATGTGTCGATTATGAAAATCCGTATGAAAATGCTTGTTCATTTTAATATTTGATAAGTCAGCGCAGAAATAAGGTGGTTCGGGAAAAAAGTTTTTTGACGAAATAGTAAACTCACTGTTCATTTTTTACTATATATTACTTATCTTAATGACAAGCTCGATTGATCGATTAAAAATACTTTCCGTTAATTAAAATTTAATTCCCGACACCTTTTCGACATACGTTAACCCATTAATTGAGGCGCTTGAGAACGCCCTTAGTCAATTCTTTGTTATGTATGTTGTAAGTGGGAATGGAACCATAATAGTCTCGGAATCTACTTAGAATAGAACGGAATAATTATACTAAAAATCCCAACCTAACTTTAAAAATTCCACTTACGACGTGTATATAAGAAATTCGGAAAATAGACAATCAAAAAACTTCAATGATATAGCGATAGCGATAGATTGTTTTTATATAAAGGTACTCGGCTTTGCATAGTCGACTAAGCCGATTTTTAGGTCGACTACAAACACTATTTCTATGGCCTATTTTATTCTTAAACATCTAAAGTATAACCAATTATATACAAAAATATAAGTAATTATATACAAAGCTTTATGCAAAAGTTTTGCATAAAGCTTTGTACGTATAATTATATACTTATATTTTTGTATATAATTGGTTATACTTTATATGTTTAAGAATAAAATAGGCCATAGATGCATAATTTATTGGTTGCTGCAGAACTTCAGAATGTCCTAAACTAAATTCGGTCAATTGTTTTTATTTTTTCAAATCTCTGATTCAAATTATAAAATATTTTCGATGAATAAGGTGTAATGATAGTTTGGAATAAAAGTTATGTGAAATTGTATAGTTTATCTTTGAAATTTTAAAAAGCATTATCTAAAAAATAATCAATTATTATCACTATAGTTATTTAATAATTATAGTATACAAAGAGACTAAGATTTAAAATAAACATGATAGAATTGTTAAGAAGTCTTGGTTTTAAAGTGATTCATAAAAGATAAGTTTTTTATTAAGCCAACATAATTGTAATAATTAAAGATACCAAGATTGTAATCTAGTATAAGAAGTAGATTAATAAAATTGTAATTTTGACAAGTTATTAGATAATAATTCAAATAATATTTTTACTTTAATATATAAAGTAAGAATATTTAGACCACACAAACTTATACTGTTGGTTTTTATATCCCGGCCGGGTTGGTGAGGTGGGGTTTTGAAATTTTAATTTTTTTAATATACAGTATTAACCAATATGAATTTTTATTATAGTAACTAGAGTTTTTTAAAAAGAGTTAGAATAGAGTATGCTATATCGTATTGTAGTATAATTTTAGAATTTTAGTGCAATTCTTAAATCTTTATCAAATATGTAATTATAGTATAACAGGTAGAGCTTCATATTAATGATAATAAGAAATTGTTTGGTGTTATAGCCTTTACACATTATTTGTTATTTTGTAATATTATCTATAATCTATAATCTATATCTATAACTATATACTAAAAATAT